TAACTTAATACAATAAAATTTCTATATAGCTGATTCGATTTCGAATAGAAAGAGCCGAGGGGATAATAGATATTTAAATTAAAATATAATTTATTATTGATGTAAAGAAACACTTACCATAAAATTAAATGAAAATCCGCAATAATAATTGGTAAAATATTCCTTGCTGTATTCCCAAAAGGCAAATCCTAATTCTCGCTTGATTGCAGATTATTTCTTTTTGAATTATATATGCACGAGGATTGTACTGTTATTTTGAATTTGCAATTTTATATTTTTTATTTGGCTAAAACACTTGTTGTCGCGCGAATCGACGGGCGGCAAGTGTTTTGTAGAACTTTTTCACTGTTGCGCACTCGAGGCGAGGTATGAACAAAATAATCGCCGTGAAACGTCTCTCTCTCTCTCTCTCTCTCTCTCTCTCTTTCTTTCTATCTTGCTCACTCACTCTTTTGCTGTTGCTTTGAAGGCGAATAACAAGTCTGCACTTGTCGCTCGAGCAAATTACCAAATTCTGCTTTGAGCGTACGTGTGTGTGTGYATGTGTGCGCGCCCGTTAGAATCAGAACTATGTTACGCGAGGCAACGGCGCTGACTGAGCGAACGCAACGATCGTTGCTGTTTGATATTAAAATTGTATAAGAATTGAGCAGCAGCAGCAGCAGAAGTAGGCAGCTGAACTGAGCCGAGCTGAGCAGAGCAGCAGCGCAGTTGACGCAGCCAAAAGTTGACTGTTCTTAATCGTTGTGTGAGCGAGAGCGTGAGAGCGAGTGAACCCGTCGTGTGTTCGCATGTGTGCGTGTGTGGGTGTGTGACGCTGCTTTAGCTTTAGCGACGATTTGCTGATTGTTTCTAATTTATTTTATAAGTTATTATTTTTTCATATAGATTTTCAAGTTTAATTTGCGTTCGTTGCTGTTGTTGTTGTTGTTTCTGTTGCTGCGGCGAATTTCCGTATCAGAGGTTCAAGTGTATGTGTGTGTTATTTATAATCTTTGCTGCTTTTGATTATTTGTATGTGTATTTGTAGCTGCGCAGCACTATGATTGCTGTTGTTGTTGTTGTTGCTGTTACTGCTCTGCTATTAGCGTTTTGTTGTTGCGCACATTCACACGCCACTATAAACAATATTGACCTAGGTTATATATACTATATATGCATATACACACATACATATATACACACACACATCAGTATTTCTGATTTTTGTTTTTACACTTCGTAATATATTTAATCGTTTTTTTTTCTAGGTTATATTTTAAGTAATAATTTGATACACTTTTTGCATTGATTAATTTACATATGTTTAATATTTTTAATATTTATATATATTCGTTATCAGCCTTTAGTTAAATAAACAATTTACCGTTCATAGTAAAAACACAAATTGATTTAAGAATTGCACTTTTTGTTGTTTGTTAAAGAAAACACTTTAAGATTGGCTATGCTTTAGTTTTAATTATTAAAACTAAACAATAAGGCAAAGGAGATCAAATAACGTTGTTTATTATTTTATTCGTTTTCTTTTTCTTTTTCGTTCTGTTGAACTATTTAAACAGCAGCTTTTTTGCTTTTTGCTTTGTTAAAAGCTTTCTAATACTATTGAAAGTTCTTTAAAGAACAGAAAACGCTGCCGTTTGTCGTGTTGACGCGTCGCCAGCTCGCTGAGAAATACGAAATGGCGGCCAGCGTTCGAAATTTGCCGAGAACAACACGCTGGCAGCGCAGCGACGCAACTGTGACTGCGCAGTCGACGTTATTATTGAATGGCAGCAGCGACTGCGACTGAGACTGTGGCAGTGGCAGCGTCAACTGAAGAATGAAAGCGCTGTGTATGCCAGTATGAGTGAGTGTGTGTATATATGTATGTGTGTGTATTTTTCTGTGCATGCGTGTGAGTTGCTGTATCTGTGTTTGGGTGCGTAAGCCGGCATTTGAGGCAGCAGCTGCTGCTGCTGCTGTTGCGTTTGCTTCTAACGTATGTAGATACAAAACCTGAAGCTGTTTTTTTTTTTTTTTTGCAGGCGCAATGGCGTTCTGCTGCTGCTGCTGTTATTTTCGGCAATTGTCTTTGTTGCGTTGGCGTTAGCGTCGACAGCGACGCGTTGCGAAGCGTCAGCCGCGACAAACGCGCTCAACTTACTCAATAAAATTTTTATTATGATATCTACGCACACGAATATAATTCGTACGGCTGTTCAATTTTCATTGTTGTTGTTGTTGCGGCTGCTACCGTTGTTGTTATTGTTGGTGGTGATTTGCTTTCGGTTCTTATCGCCGTTGCTTCTACTGTTGCGGCTGTTGTTGCTGTTGTTTGGTCAGTTGTTTTTTTTTTGTTCGCCGTATTTTCGCAGCTTTTTTCTCTGCTGGTGACGTATGCGTCTGTATGTATGTATATACAATACTATATATGTATGTATGTGTGCGTGTGTGTGGAGGGTTCAATTTGTGATTTGTTAGCATGAATCGAAACATTTACGATGCTTTCGTCAACTTCGTAGATAACTAAAGATTAAAGATCACCTGATACAATGTGCAAGTCGCAATTAAATTGACATAGGCCATATAAAAATATGAACTTTGTAGCGTTACTTACCTGCGTTAGGCATTCAAGCGAGCGATAAACAATTTAAATTATTATTTTAATACGAAAATTACCTACATACATTGTCGCATTCCCTTTGTCAATGGAGAACAACAATAAAATATCTTAATCGAGTCAATGCCCTAACCAAAACTTTATAGCCAATGTCTGCTGTAGCATTTGCACTTCCCCTCCTCCTTCCACCCACAGCTCTCTTACCTCTCTCATACTTCTGCATATCTTTCGCTCTGCCCATTCCCCATTTTTCGTTTTTATTCAAGCAGTGCATTGACCCCATATTTCTTTTGTCGGGCAACATTTATAGTACAACAGCAAAATACAAAAAATAAAAAACAAAAATTAAAATTATTATGCATAAATAAGAAGTTGTTCGAAATTCGGCGAAAATGTTCAAGAAATTTCAATAAATGCAGCGGCCGTGCGCAGCCATCGACAGAGCGTTTCCGCTGCTCGCATTGCAGTCGACGCAGCTGCTACGGTTGTTACGGCTGCTGCTGCTGCTGCTGCGGGGGGCGTACGTTTTTTGAACGTTGCAATAAATTCAAGCTTCATCCCTTTTTGGCAACGACCAACACCAACACAAACGGCAGCGAGCCAAAAAATATATGTATTAAAAAAAAAAAGAGAGAGAGAAGAAGAAAAAATAAAATACAACCCAAACCCAAAATGTCTGCAACGTTGTCGGTTGCAAAGGGCAATGCCAGAACAAAAGCAACAACAGCAGCGCAGTTGTAGTCGCAGCAGCAGCAGCAGCAGCAGCAGTAGCAGAAGCAGCAGCAGCACTCGCAGCGGATTCGCGTGGCGGACGTGCAACGGTTTTCAACAGCTGACTATGTGAGGCCGTGCCACAGTTTTCGACACGTGCTGCACATGCAGAGGACGCAAGCAGCGCGCCGCACACTCAAGAGTTTGTTGCATGGCTGCCTCTCTCTCTCTCTCTCTCCCTCTCTCACTGTCCCTCACTCGCTGTGCAAATGTGCAATTGTGTAGGTTGTTGCCGTGCTGCATGGGACAATTAAAGCGAGTCTGCGTCTGGTCGCTTGCCAGCTGCTTGAATCATTAGACACATCGATTAAATGGGCGGAGAAAGTGCCACAAATTGAGCTGCCTTAGAAGGTGCAACTTTCATTGCAATGGAAATAGAACTCTCTAAACTGATAAATAAATACAGAATACTAGACAGAGAGAGAAGGGGGATGGGGGTTTCCAATGTTATCATTATCAATTAGAAAAAATATTATTATATACTATAGTACAAACTTGTTAAAAAAAATCAATTAATAGTCTGCAATCAGTATATGTATCGTCTAGGTACACAATTTTCTACCAAAAACAATCAGAGGAAGAGAGGAGGAGAGAATTTCTGGTATGGCTTTTAGCATATTTCCGGGCGGCATTCCAAGACCTTGACAGGGACATCACATTAAAGCCAGATAGCAGCTGATATCGTGAGGTTTCCCAGAACTCGGGGAAGGCAAATTAGAAAACAGTTGCCAACAAATTGCACCATTATGAGAGAGTGAATCACAATGCATTGCCTTCAGTTGGTCCCTCACGGGGCTGTTTTGACTCTTGCATTGGCTGTCTTAGATAATGGGCTTCATAATGGGCGCATTTCTTGATCTATGCAATAACAATCGACAAAATATTTCATAATTCTTAATTGGTTTTTCATATTCTAGATCCATGATTGTGTGGGATTTCATGGCGCTCTGATTTACTTTCAAAGGGGCCAAAACTGTTCAGCTAATAGCAACGCGAATCTAATCTAATCTAATCTTATCAGGGCAAACAGCGTACATTATGTTATTGCATATAATGCGCCAATGACCACGTGCGAAATATCTCTTTAGAGTCTAGGAAAAAAAGTAAACGGAAACATAACTCGTGGAATTGCACAATATTTATGAAGTTCTCCAAGAGCAGCGTCGGTTAAAACAAAACCAAAAACAAATAGGGTATCTGAAATGCGGCATTCCTAGCTAATGGAATAGGGAATTTAACAGACCATGTTAAAAATTTAATAGAGAAATCAATGTAAGTATATACATATGTACATATATTTATATACATAAATATATTTATGAAATTTAAAATAAATTTTCAAATAAAAAATAA